CGGCTCTCGCAAGGTGAATACCCAGCCACAGTCCACGGAAGATGGCTCTAGCAAGGTGGAGTCTCAGCCACAGTCCGTGGGAGACAGCCCTAGTAAGGTAAAGCCCCAACCGCAGTCCACAGGACAGGGCTCCAGCAAGCAGAAGCCCCAGTCCCAGACAACGGGAGATGACCCTAGCAAGGAGAAGCTGCAGCAGCAGTCCTTGAACTCCAACAAGCTGGTCTCCAACCCCTCCTCTGATAACAAGGAACCCACCAATCCTGACTTAAACATACCAGCTGACAAAGATACCTCTCTGCATGCTTCTAGAGGTGAATCTGGGGAGACAGTATTACTGGACTCTGACCCCACTTCTCCACAGCAGGAGAGAGAAGGTAAGTCTTCAGAGCTTACAGAAGATGTGGAGCCCAAGAAGGCTGAGGAAGGCGATACAGAGCCTGAAGGTTCACCGCCCCAAGAAGAGAAAGAGATGCCCGGCCTTGCCTCCAGTGAGAACCGTGAAGGAACACTTTTGGATTCCATGGGTAGGGAGAATGATGACCTTTATAAAGACAGTCTTGGAAGTGCCAGTGCAGAGAGCAGCCACTTCTTTGCATATCTGGTGACCGCAGCCATACTTGTTGCTGTCCTCTATATTGCCTATCACAACAAGCGGAAGGTAAGTCAAGAGTTGCCTTAAGAAGAGGAATGGGATTTCCTCCACCCTGAAAGTTTGGTGTGTGGGCCGGTATCTATCACTCATCTGCCTATGAGCACTGGGGATTTTAAGACAAACTTCAGTTTATCCTCAGATTCTGCTACGGCTCTCTACTCTCATTTTATAAATGATTTGTTTTCATGTCAGATACCTTTGAGTGCCCTCTGCTGCTGTATTAGGTGCTAAGTAAGGACATTATTGTGATCTGACCTGAATTGGGGTCTCCTCCCATAATCTTAAACTTAGGTCCTTCCTTTACAGCCTTAGAGAACCTGAGTACCTGACAGTTCGTAAATACAGTACTCTGAAGATGGTGAATGATTTCTAGTTTCCTTTCCCAAGCTTTTACCTTCCGTCTGCAATGGCAGAAAGAGTGGTTACATAGTCTTTGACATCAACAGCAGAGAGCCCAGGGACTGTCTTCTACAGTCAGTTGAGTTTCTGATTAGAAGAATGGCCAGAAATTGCATGGAGACACTCATCTTTTACTACTTTAGCAATGTTTGGTGTACAGTAATATCTGTTGCTTAGCAACCACTCTGATGACAAAATGATTGCATTTCGTATTGAGTCCTAAGAATTTAGCAGTTTCTACAGCCTGGTTAAAATTGGAGCGTTCAATTTGTCAATATGCCTATGACTGTAAGGAATGAGGGAAGACGTTTAACAAAAAGGTGTTCCTTATTCTACAACCAGAAAGTAACCGTAGATGTGAAAGTGGTAAGGTTAAAGTGGAGCAAGTGTGGGGTGAAAAAGTACATTTGCAGATAAGAAATGATTATTGCTTGTGAGTAAAAAAGGAGTGTCTTATCCTAGAGCTTTCTGGGGAGGAGTTGGCAGATCTTTGTACTCTTGAGTAAATCATATAGACTCCCACAAGCCAAAGCCCAGAACAGTCTTCTTCCCATCTGTTACTTCATACTTAGTAGTATAAAAGATTCTGAGGTGACTGGAGGCCCTGTCCTCCTTAAAATTGTCATAACTTAAAGAGGTCTCTTTGTGGGTGTACTACTCTTTCACTGTCAGGGTCCTTAACAAATGTACTACCAGGTGATTACCTCTGATTTCAGAGACTGAGATCTGTCATTGTAGAGTCACTTGTTAATTTCATTTTCCTTTCCCCAGATTATTGCTTTTGTGCTAGAAGGAAAAAGATCTAAAGTTACTCGACGGCCAAAGGCCAGTGATTACCAGCGTTTGGACCAGAAGGTAAGGAAAGAAGCCCCAGGTCTGTGGGAGGGATAGGCAGTCTCAGATAGGCCCAGCAGAGCACTTATATTTGACACGATGGCCGTTGCCCCACCCTTTGCGGACCACAAAGTAGAGATGTCCATATGTACGTGTCTGCAATATGAGAGCTAGTAGAGACCTCCACGTGCTGTAAGTCAGCTCCCTCCCTTGACAGAAGAGGAAATTCAGGCCCAGAAACCTGATTCCTCCTCCCCGCCCCCGCACCGAAGTTCCCACTACAAATTTGTGTCAAAATCAAGACCTGATGGCAACCCCCTAGGCACCCATCCTGTGCTTTTTGCACCGAACCAACACTTCACAAATTTTAGTAGGCACATGAATCACCCTGGGAATTGTATTGAAAAGTCTGACTGATTACATATGGGTGGAATCTCTGCTTCTACGTTTCTAGGAAGTTCCCAGGTGACATCACATGCTGTGGAGCCATGCTTTAGGTAGCAGAGCATTTGATTACACTCCCCGAATACCAGTGAGTCCAGAAACATCTAGGCCTCCAACTCTAGAGATCAGCCCTACTAAACTGTGGACTCGATTTCCTAAGTGCAGCCAACTCACGCCTGCCAGAAAATAAAGCATTCTTTCCACCCCACAGAGTAGGAGCTGAGCAGGATTCTCTCCAAAAGCAGCCTGAGTGGGAACAGGGTATTTCCACTGCCTTGCCAGCACACACCCCTCCTTTCCCCTTCTATGTAAGGACAGTCAGGACATTGGTAAATAGTACTTGGTGGCTTGACTGTAAGTTTTCCTAAGACTCCCTACAGGTAACGCAGTTCACATGTATAGCCCATACCAGCAACAGAATAAACCACTCAGCTCCAAACACCTTTGCTAACTAGCCCAGTAGGTCAACTTCACAATTTAGCCTTGGCCTAGTACCTTTCCGGATAATTGACTTTAAGGATTCATTTCCCTTTCCTAATTAAAATGCACATGTAAACAATTCAAAACAACACAGAAATACTACAAAGCAGAGACCAGGATTTCCATATTCCTTTCACCAAGTGTGTATCTTTCTAGTATATGTTTGATTTCAAACTGACTTTAAAAATAATTTTAGTGCTTTTATTTTACCGATTGCTCTTTGTATGTTAGAGCGGCAGCTTATCTTAATTCTGAATTTTTTCCCTGAACTGCAACTCCTATAGGATCTTGCATTCCCCTAGATTCATAGCAGTGAGGTGTATTCCCCTGGAAGGAGATTAATGTCACAAATGAATTGTGTTGCTCTCGTTTCAGATTTGATTTCTGTGTTCTTGAGAACTTTGTCCTCCCTGCTGATTTGTTTTTAAATCAAGAGAAATGAAGAAAAAAAAGTACTGTGACCTAAGAGACACCCCCTCCTCTAGGGTTTGGTGGCAAATCGGGCCTGGCAGAGGCGGGGGGGTATTGCTTAGCTTTTTGCACCTGCACTTTGGTGACCTTGTACTCCTGTGTCCCCATCACCTATGCTGGTGTCTTCCATCCTTTCCTCCTCTGAGTGTGAGTAGAGGGAGCATGTGGGAAGCCAGCTATGACCAAAGGGAGACCTCAGCCCCAGGCAGGCTACTGCTGCTGACTGCCTTCCCTTGGGCCTTGGCCCTTTCATAGTTACCCCTTGAAAACAGCATTGCACCCACCACAAGTTATCTTTGCAGACCTAGGAGAAAACTCACCTGCAGGTTGAGGTGCTTCTATACCAAGGCCTCATCTGGAGGGACGTGCCCTACAAAAGATGTAGAAGGTGAATGCTGACGGGCAAAGGGCTACTTTGAATACGTAATTCTCTTCAAAGGCTTCAGCAGCAAACCCAAACAGCTTTTAAAAAGTGCTTTATTGCCTGCAGTCCAACCTGTCTAGTGTAAGTTCTTCACATTTTCCTGATATTTTCGTATTACTTAAGACAAAGTGAGTCAAATTCCATTTGGTTGTACTGAGCATAAAACTGAACTTGGGGATTCTGGAAGTAAAGCTGTAAAGCCACGGTTCCCGTCACAGATTTTTTAAAATATAGTTATGATTATTGAAAATACTGTGCTTGTCTATACTCATAATTGTAACAGGAACTTTTTAAAATAGGGTGAGCTCATACTTTGCAGCAGAAAATGTGCAGGAGGGTTTGGTTTTGACCTGCATTATTTTCCTAGGGTTTTATGAAAGGTTTCCCATAAACTCTGTTTGACATTTGTTGCCTAAAATAGACAAATTAGACTTGTAGTCAGAAACTAACTGTACTGTCTCTTTTACCTTAATCTAGTTAATGGTTCTGTATCTGATATAGGATGTCAAGGGTAATTAGTAAAAACTCTCCTTCCATTCCATGTCAGAGGTTGTTAAAACTTCAGAAATTCAGAGAGTTCCCCTGGGGTAACTGAGGGTAGTGTTTTGGATCATGCTGTGGTTTGAAGTTTTACTTAAGTCCGTTCTAGCTGTGCTACCTATTATAGAGAGCCTAGAGAGAGTTGTTCTGCAGAGAAAAAATGGAATTAGAATAGCTGATCTCAGGGAAATACAAAGAATGTGGGAAGTGAGGGGTGGGATGAATTCTGTGCTGCTGAAGTCATTCTGCAGAAAGGACCATCCTGTTGGCACATTACCTTGCACCTCACTTAAAACAGCATGGCTTTGAGTTGAGATTTATGGAGACAAGGAATAAATGAATGATCTCGGCGTCATGCCCTCTTCCTGTGCATCAGTCTTATAACACTTTCCTCTGAGGAATTTTCTGTCCGGCTCTCCTAGCATTCTATAAAACCACAGTTCCCCTTTGCCTACCTTTCCTTCTCCCCTCTGATGTTTTCTGTTTCTCCGTCTACACTAGCACCTTTCCTTCTACCTTTATGCATGCCCAGATTTCCCGTTCCCATCCATCCTGTTTGTTACTCCTTCCCTTCGTAACCTTTGTACACTCATGTCGGTCCCTGTCTTCCTACTAGTAGTGTTTTTCCTGAGGTTCAGATCGCCAAAGGTAATGGCTTATTCTCAAAGCTTAGTCTTGTTCTGGATAGAACTGAACATTATTGACCATCCAAATTGAAATTCCCCCCTTCTGGTTTCTTTGACTGACTGTCCTGGCTTCTAAGAACTTTGCTTTACCCTGTGCTGGTGGGGGAAGAGAGCTCTCAAAGGCTGGTTTCTCTCTTCCTTCATCTTCCCAGAAATTCATCCATCCCTCATCCTCTGAGTGAGTGACTCCCAAGTATTTATCCTTGGCCTGGTTCCCAAAGAACCAAATCCTGTTGTGTGCTGTTAGTTTGCTCTGTTGGCACTAAAAACTGAAGTTCTCTCTAATACCCATTAAGCTGCCCATCTCACCTGCCCATTTTATTTGTCTAAGCTCCAAACTATGTGGTCTTTTACCATTTTTATCTGTTACAACAGACCTATCCATTAACAACAACGACAACAACAACAGAAAGTCTCCAGTATAATCTTTCTTTCCATTTTCCTTGCTTTCCTGTTGCACCCCCACCATTTCACTTCTCTCCTGAATTCCCAACCCGCCCAAGAGGCATCCTAACTGGTCCTCCTGTCCATCTTCTGTCATGTACAGATTGATCTTTCCAAAATCCTTGCCCTGATCTAAAGCTTCTGTCTACCTCTCATGGCTTAGAGAATCTAGCTTTATAGACTGTAGTGTTCAGGACTCTGCAGATGGGCACTTTCTTGCCAGGTTTTCTCTGCATCCTGCCCAGGCCAAAGGCTCCTCTTGTCAGGCCCATCTAGGCCTCTGTGCCTTTTTGTTGTTGCTGTGCCCTCCATTCCCTGGCTTCCGTGGTTGTTCTTCAGTCAGGGCACACTCCTTTCTCTTCTTTCACTTGCCTCCCCAGATGTTTCTTCAGGCCCCAGCTCAGGTTTTTCCATGCACCTTCTTAACTCCTCCACCACGTGATTGTTGGCTCTTTCCATTCTATTCTAATAACTTAATAATGCCAATCACAAATTTTATAACTCCAGCAAAAAAGAGCAGACTTATCTGATGTCTGTATCTGGTCTCTCCTCCCCAAAACGAAGCTACTTGCAGGAGTGCCCTTGGCACCACCTGCATAGCTGCCTAGTGTAGTGACACCCCCTAGGTACTTCAGGAGTTCACTGTCTTCTTGCAGAGACATTTTCCTTGTTCAGGACGTCTGAATGTGACTTACCTGACATCTCATACAGCTCTTCCTGGCTACTGGTTGCTGTCCCTTACTGATAGACTTTGCTTGTAAGGAGGGTGAGTAGAAAGAAAGATTGGTTTCAGGAACCAAGAGGGTTGGCACCAAGTGGATGCAGAAGGATTCTGTGGAGTCCGCATAGTTCCCTTTTTTGAGCATCTGAGAAGTATCGTTTCTTGTGCTAAAAGAGTACAATAGAATTTAAGCTTCATTGTAGAAATTACACTGAAGGAACTTTCTTTTTTTTTTTTTTAATTTTTTTTTTTCAACATTTATTTTTTGGGAGAGAGGCAGAGCATGAACGGGTGAGGGGCAGAGAGAGAGGGAGACACAGAATGGGAAACAGGCTCCAGGCTCTGAGCCATCAGCCCAGAGCCCGACACGGGGCTCGAACTCACGGACCGCGAGATCGTGACCTGGCTGGAGTCGGACGCTTAACCGACTGCGCCACCCAGGCGCCCCATGAAGGAACTTTCTGACACCAGCGGAAAACTTTTCTCAGTAGTTGTCCTTTTGAAGATAAACTATTGATAGCATGTTTTTCTAGAGGTGGTGTGGATGAGGGTGAGCTGGCTTGAGGCATCTCTCAAGGTGGGGGCGGGGGGGGGGAAGGGTAGGGGTGGGCAGGGAAGTCCCTGGAGCCACGAGAAGCACCGCTATCTAGACAGCTATGTCTTTCCTGCCCCAGCCTTTGGTTGAAAATTGATTTCTAGTAGGAGGAATCTGTGTTTCAGTCATGGATGTCAGTAGAGGGGTTTCGTTTCTTGCTACAGATTACTGAGTAGAATTATTTGAAGATGCTCTTCTGGACTCTGGGGGAACGAAGGCCAGTCTATCTAGAAAGGCTACAACAACTCGGAAAGACCTGACAATGAGCTATATGTATGCTGACGTTTCTTTTCCCATAATGGCTTTTAATGAAACGTTTGGTGATAGAATTATAAACCTCTAGAATTCCCCTGATGGTGATTCTCATTTTTTTCTCTACTTCATGTCATCTAAATCAAAAAAGGAAGCCTGCTTCTTGTTTTTACAAGGTAACTTGATACATAATGCTGTTATGTATGTGTGATGAAAGCTAGCACGCTTCACACGTGTTCTGAATCACTTGAACGGGGAAGAGTATCTTGTACACCAGACACCAGATCCTGGTGTTCTTCCAGCTGTTTTCTGAGAAGTCTTGCTGAGAAGGTTGCCTTTGACATTGCCTTGCTTAAGGAAGAATCCTGGGAAGATTTCCAGGTTCCATTTAACTATTCATCCAGAGCAAGACAGAATCTCAACTCACCTAGTTCCTCAAGACACCTGTGAATTTCCTAAATGTCCCAGTTGAGAAACTCCTCCGTAATAGTGTTGGGTCTGAGCTGTGTAGCTACAAGCTGCCAACAAAAGCAGCCTCCTCACACTTAGATATTCCTTTAATTCAGAAGTTTCTCATGTTAAATAAATGATTGTTGAAGTTGTCTCCCTTTTTTGTTTACCGGATTAGTAGAGTGCCACTGTTTTTGCAATGTTTTATATTTTCAGCTTTTTTAACTTAACTATATGATTACTTAATTTTATTTTTTTAAAGCTTATTTGGTCTAATGATAAGTATTTTTCAGTACGTAATGTTTTCCTGAGCTTCTCTGAATGCCGTTTCAATGTAGTTTTGTATCACTGCACAGAAACCAAAATAAGTTTCAAATATTAAAGCTATAAAAACATTAAATTTATTAAAATGGCAATCAAATTGATAGAAATAAGGCCTGATACAAGTGAAAGGTCATTAAAAAAAAAAAAAACTTCAGCCTTTGTTCACCTTTCCATCCAGTCCCCCCCCGTATGTACCAATAAATGGGAACACCATCCCTGACCTTTGTACACTCGTTACGTAGCTTTCCACATTCTGATCCTGACTGATTTCCAGCCCCACTCCTCCCTGCCAGGCAGCCCATGTTCTAGGTCTAGGAGGTGGCTGGGTTATTTGTCTTACAGTCAGTTACCTCTGTGGTTGTCATCTGCTGTAACCTTGGCCTGGAACGTTCTTTCAGTCTGCTTCAACCCCCATGAACTCATCTTTCCAGTCCAGTGTTGTAACTGCTAACATCACCCTTTGCTGTGGATTTTTGGAAGATAAACTTTTGAGGCTCAGGTACTGAGCTCCATGAGGGTATCTTGGTGCTGACCCAGTGGAGACCCAATGTTACCGTGAAAATAAGGAAGACAAACCTAGGGCCTGGCTGCATGTGAATTGGATATTTCAATATATACTGCGCTAACGTCTTTACCCCCAACTCCCACAACCACGTTGAGACTACCCTAGGTGTTTCCCCACCCTCTGAAAGAGCCACTGGAACCAACAAAAACAGGCTCTCTGGGGGCCTCTGAACCCACGGAACTACAACCAAAACCATGCCCAGGTTTTGACAAAAACCTCTCTAGGCACCCTTTTCCAACAGCAGTATGGAGCTCCTTTGGTGCAGCAAGGAGAATGAAGAGAAGTCTCAGGACATCTGGCCCAATCTGCTTCAGCTGACCAAGACTACGGAGGGTTCTGTCCACCTGACCAAAAGAATATTCAGTTGGACTCTTCTGGGTTGGGAGGCGATGGGAGCGCAGTGTGCAAAGCACTGCTTGACCAAACGGGCTGCCCAAGTCACTGGGCCACCCCGGGCCTTTTACCAGGGATAGCAGTGTTAGCTCTGAGCAATCACCTGCCCAGCTGGAAGAGGTGCAACTTGAGAACTGTGATTGAAGAATTGTGACCTGTGTGTCAGACCTCTTCAGAAATCAAAAACAGAGTAGAGTGCCTTATGTGAGGAAAGAACGAGTACAGGAAGACATTATGGCTAAGTCCAGGGCTGTGCCATAGCACCAGCCAAATTCCTCAGACTCCACTCTGGACTAATTCTTCTGAGCCTGGATCCTTGAATTGAGATTCTTAAGGTCTAGGTACAAGTTCCGCTTCAGGATGGTGCTGCTGCATAGTAGGGCCCCTTGCAAGGCCCCCACCAACCCACAGGTGAAGACATCCTGGCCTAGGAGACAAGAGCACAGGCCCATGAGCATCTTCCCCAAGCGGGGGGACAGGGAGCAAAGGCTCTCCTGTTCATCCCTCCAAGCTAGGCCACCCACAGATGGCTTTACATCAGGACCAGGGTCCATAGCCTGCTGGGGTAGCCCATCCCAATGTGGAAGGCTGCAGGGGACAGTAGGATCTGCAGACAGAACAGAGTACTTTGGGTGACCGGGAGGCCTGGGGTTGTAGGCCCTAGAGAAATGGGGCAGTGTACCTGTCAAGTAGAGGTTGGGAATGGGGCTTTGGGCCCTCATGGAGGTCATCACATGAGGATGTAGGCGGTCCAGGTCATGGCTGGCCCCATAGCAGGCACCCCAGGGAGCAGCCAGATAGAACTGGTAGGTCAGCGGGGACCCTCCAACCACACTCTCCACCTGAGGAGACAAAAGGCAGCAGAGTGGGAGTGGGGCCTTGTGAGATCCTCGTTTCCTCCCTTTTCTGTTCTCCTCAACTGAACTGTATGCCTGCATGGGTTCCCTGCCCTTCCCTGGAGCTTAGTTATTTCAGGGCTTTATTTCCCTCCCCAAAAGAAAGAGCAGAAATGGCACCGAGAGGTATGTTGTCACTACCACATGGTCTGCCCGCCTACCTTCCCCTCCAGCTGTGGGAACAGTCTCATGACAACCGACATAGAGGCTTCAACAAAGGAGTTTTTGAGTGTTTCATAGTCGCTGTTCCGCTTTCCCTCTGCCTTCTCCTGCCACTCTTCAAACCACTCATAGCAGGTGGGCACCAGTACGATCATCGTGGACCGGTCTGGGGACACAGCTGGGGTTACTAATGCCAGGCCCCTTCCCTGCTCCGGCCCCCGTGCCGCCCCCGACCGAAAGGCCCACCTGGGAACCGGTCCTCCCAAGTGGGATCCTTGGCTGAGGAGGCGGCAATGAAGAGGATGGGCAAGTGCTCTGCAGCCTTTTCCCTGGGCATCGAGACGTAATGCTCCATCCTGAGGGCGAGGGCTGTGGCTGTCGATGCCAGGCCTTGGCTCCTCACTGCCACTGCCCCAAGGACAGGCCAGCCCCCGGGACCCCCCACAGGGATGAAGCTGAGGCCCGCTCCGTAACTGCTGCGGATTCTCCAGCGTCAGAGGAGGAGGCAAGAGCCCCATGGGCTGTGGGCCCCAGCTGACACCCTCCCCCCCCCCCCCACCCCATGCACACACACGCCTTACGCCTTGTCGAAGTCTGTGTCAAAATACACAAAGTAGTTGGTGGACTGCAGCCCCAAGTCCTCCTTGGTGCCTCGTAGGCCGATGAAAACACAGAAGGCGCTCAAGCCAGGCCGCACCATCTCCAGCTGCTGCCTCACACCTGCCGAAGTGGAGGTGAGGGCCATGTGAACACAGCCGGCAGGGGGAGCCACTCCCTGCCTGGAAGAATTTGCTTGCTTTATCTGCAGCCTCACCCTCGGCGACCAGCCTAGCACCTGGCCATCTTCACAACTCTTGTTTTAATACTAAAATAACAGTGTTGACAGGGCCTGCTCTTCTCTGACTTCTGCCTGGTAAGAACACACCCCCGGGCTCCCACTCCTCTGCCCACCCCCCACTTCTGCTCTAAGTTCCCTTGAAGGCCCAGGAGGCCCAGCTTCTCTAAGCTGGCTCAGTGCCTGCAATCTTCCCTATTGGCTTTAAGTTACGAGCAGATTACTGGGCTCCACACTATACAGACCATACGTACGAACAGTAGTTTGTTATAAGCCTTGATTTCCATATTACATTGAATACAAGCCATCTAGGGGCACCTGGGTGACTCAGCTGGTTAAGCATCTGACTTCGGCTCAGGTCATGATCTCGCGGTTTGTGAGTTTGAGCCCCGTGTCGGGCACTGTCCTGACAGCTCAGAGCCTGGAGCCTGCTTTGGATTCTGTGTCTCCCTCTCTTTCTGCCCCTCTCCTGCGCGTGCACTCGCTCTGTCTCTCTCTCTCTCCCTCCCTTAAAATAAGCATTAAAAAAAAAAAAATGTAGGGGCGCCTGGCTAGCTCAGTTGAGTGTCTGACTTCGGCTCAGGTCATGATCTCACAGTTCGTGGGTTCAAGCCCCACGTCAGGCTCTGTGCTGACAGCTCAAGCCTGGAGCCTGCTTTGGATTCTGTGTCGCCTTCTCTCTGCCCCTCCCCTGCTCACACTCTCCCTCTGTCTCTGAAAAATAAAATAAATGTTAAAAACAATTTTTAAAAATACCACCCCTCCTGAAATAGGTGTTCAAATAGTAACTATAAAGGAACAACCAGATTCACCATTAAGACAACAACAAAATGAAGATTTCAAAATAAAAAAAGCATTAAAAAAGAATACAAGCCATCCAATGAGCAAATATACATAATTCCTAGTGTGCTGAACAGGCTGAACAAGACTTCAAAATGGTAAGCAACGCAGATGAACAAATGCCAACACCGTTCCTGCCAGCTGGCATTTTAGGTTCAGGTAGGGGAAGAGGGAAGAGCACTGTGGAAGCAAGAGCCTCTGTGACAGCCATCTGATGTCCCCTGGAGCTAAGCAGCTGGGCTCCCCCACCTCGCAACAAATGACCCCAGACCAGCCTTCTGGAAATGGCTCCCACAAAGTCTTACCTTTGTTCCCATTCCCAGGACCACCACCTGCCTGAGGGGTAACTGGGCCACTGGCTACTGTGCCTAATTTGTTAAACAAGTACTTGTTGAGGACCTAAAATGTGCTGAATCCTCTGCTAGGCTTTGGGGACACTACAAGGAATCAGATATGATGCCTGTCTCCTGGAAAAGAGGCTTTCCTGAAAGAAGCTGGCTTTCCTAATAGAGGCTACAAAGAGCTGAGTGCTATGTGTAGGGTGACCATAGGATTTATCATCCAAAACAGGCTTTTGAGAGTGAAAGGAGGCGGGATAGCAATTCCAGTAGGACCACAAGTAAGAGACTGACAGACCACTGGGCCATGGGGGCGCCATCAGGACAGAAGGGGAATGTGGGTTTCCACCGCCACAGGGAGGGATGGCGGGCTGCCCTGGGGCCGTAGGAGCACCTTCTCACCCGGGTTCCAGCATCTGGGGCTCATCTCACTGCCGGCTCCCCCTCTCCAGGTGGGATGGGGGTGATCATGGAGAAAACAGGGGGCCCAGGAGTGAAACCATCTAGGTCTCCAGAGGCCCTTAAGAACAGTAACTACCCCACCTAGCCCTTCCTTTCCCTTTTTCTCCAACTAGAAGGATGGGATCCAGGAACCACATACCTGGCAGAAAAATAGAACCTTGGGTCCCAAATAAGGCACACAATTATATCCAGGCTTTTTTCTCCATGCCAGCCTCAGCTTCCCTTATTGATACTGTCCGATGAGTCTTCCCCACTCAAACAACTTCCTCTCCAAACCATCCCCAGGAACCTCCTGAAGGCCCAGCAGTGGACTTAAGAAAAGTGCTCCTATTCACAGAGGCTCCCTCTGCCTGACCACCCCACCTCCACACGACTCCAGCCAGCACTGCCTGCCCCAAAGGCCACCAGACATCTGGTTCTCAACTCTGAGAGGTAGATAGACCTATGAGAACCCCCACCCCCAAAGCAGGTGGAAACAAAGGAGTCCCAGCACCTGGGGGTCTCCGGAGTTAAGCATCTTGGCTGCCACTGCCTGAAACGCTCTCAAACGGGGATTCATCTGAGGCAACATCCAACTGCTCCTCCTAAGGGGGCAAATGGTTTTTCAGCCAGGTGGGGTTTGTGCCATTAGATTAGATACACAAAAGCAGTAAACACTGTAACTAGAGAAGGGAGGGCAAGCTAAACTTGTAACTCCTGACAGGGCGCCCTGGGGAGGAGGCAGGCAGGAGGAGGGGCACTGGGACCCATCAGAGCCAGGGTTCAGGGGACCCGGGAGGCAGGGAGGCAGGAAGTACCAAACGCAAAGTCTGCCAGCTGCCCTGCCACCGGCCAGTCTGCCACACCCCACACAGTGTGAGGGAGGACAGGCCTTCTCTGGCAACAGACGCCAGTTGAGGCCCAGCTGAGTGAAGCTCCACGTTTCTCAGTCCGGACGGGGCCAAGGACCCAGGCTTTCAAGTCAGAACCACCAGTGTTCTCATCTCAGCTTTGCTGCTTTCACCTGGGTGGCCTTGGGAAGTCACTTCACCTGTATGGGTCTCACTTCTCCTCCGGCCCCATAAACATCAGGATGATGACATCTGTCTCCCAGGTGGCAGTGAGGATCACGTGCCACGACAAAGGTAAAGCCTCTCACACAGACTTACCGAGGAAGGGCTCACCCACAGATAAGCCTACTGCCCCTCACCCCCCAAAACCAGGCTTTTATTATGTTTGGACACAGCCTATTAGAAGAGAAGACTGCATTGAGGGTTATTTCTGTCCAGGCCACAGATTTCAAGCACAAGCCCAGAGCTCAAGGGACAGAAGAAAGCCAGAAGGGTACTCCCGCAGCTTCAGCCCCAGCAAGTAGCTGGTTCTTGAAAGAGGTTAAAAAAAAAAAAAAAATAGAACCTTGGGTCCCAAATAAAGCACACAACAATTATAGCAAGACTTTCTTCTCCATGCCGGCCTTAGCTTCCTTAACTGACGTCAGACCAGGCTTTCCCACTCAAAGTAAGTGAAGAATTCAGGGAAAAAAGTAGGATTCAAACCACAAACCCAAGCAGCGTTCCTTTAGGACGCTACCCACCATCATGAACTATTAGCTCTAAGATCTGGGGAAGCTGAAAACAGGCAACAGACTTGAAAGAGAAGAGGGCAAAGCGGGTGAGGTTATAGGGGATAAGGGGTAAATATGCCAAGGACGGAATGAGAGATAAGGACCGAGGGGTCTGTGGGGGTGATTCAATACAAAGAAAGCTGCTTCCCAACCCCTAAACACAGAGGTCTTGCTGGGAACAGATGCTAGAGATGGTGTGCTCGTGCTCACCTGTTCTGCTTAAGGATGGTCACAGGGCAGTCAAGAGGAGCAAGAACACCAGCCTGGCTGGGCAGGCTAGCCCCAGAGGGAGCACTGCTAGGAGCTTCGCAGAGCAAAGTAGCCCAGTCTTTTACCTGGCAGACAGCGGGCATTCTCTGGCAGTAGGTACTTGTAGGTATTGAAGAGTCCTGCGTTGGAGATCACGACGGGGCAATAGATGTTCACCAGCTCCTGACCCTTCTTCACAGTGACACCTGCAGGCACAAGAGCTTGGCTGAGGTTCTTTGCACTCCAGGTTTTACACAGATCTCTCCCAGCCTACACTTTATCTTCTTAGACCTGGGCATCCAGCCCAGCTATGGTCAGGCAGGCAGGCTCCAGGCAAAACTGCAAAGCAAGTGAAACATCCTCAAGCATTCTCCGCCTAACCCCACAGTCACTTGTGCACTTACCTTCCCTGGCTCTCTCCCCACGCCATGTGGGCACCCTTTTCTGTAGCCAAACCTCCACACTAACCGTGACAAAGCTCATGGGCTGAAGCCCTTCCACTGGAATCCCAGGCCCTTCTTCACTGCTGCCAGACTTCTATTTCCAAAATACTCTGAGACCCTCCAATGACACCACAACCTCTGTAAGATAAACTCCAAAGTCTTATACCAGCCTTCCAAGATCTGGTCCCTTCTGTGTCTCCAGCCTTGTCTCTGGCCACACGCACTAAACTATTAGGTGGCACCATATCAAACAGCTGATAGTCAACCACTTTGACCTATAAAAACAGTAGCATTTTGGGGTTCAACCTACTTCCAGATGCCTAAAAATAGTCAGCTCTTTCATGCATCCGTGCCTTCGCACATTCTGTTCCCCCTGCCTGGAACATCCCAAAAGCTCGAGCTAGCTTCTTCTCACCCTTTATGACCTGCCTCAAGCACCTCTGCCCTCCTTCCTCCATCCTTAGTCTGTACCTTTGTATGACACTTTACATCTCAATGATCTTCCCTATGATTAGAAACTTCTTGAATTACAGATTTTCTTTATAGCCATCTCATCTTTTTATCTCCATTTTTTATCACCTAGCACCTGAAAAATACGAGTAATATTCTGAACTGAATTTAATTGAACTGATAAACCCACCTTGCTTCAAGGACCTCTTCTGGCTGGAAGAGGAACTTGCTTGTGGACATCAGAGAAAAATCTCACACAACCAACCACCTCTCCGGTCTCACCCAGCAACTTCCTAGTCTCTTCTACAAATGTATTCTCAGAGATCGCTGATGACCTTTTCTCCCTTGATTTTTTTGTGCAGTGGGCCATCCACACACCTCCTCCTTGAAAGACTTCTCTGGTGAATTCACTGTCACACCAGCCCTCTTCTTTCAGGTCTCTCTCTGTCTCCTTCCCTGATGTTTCTTTAAGCACCCCCTAATCATGGATGGCCTGTTCTGTTTACCAGAGTCCTTCCCTGCACACACCCTCTCCTCACAGAATTCATCCACGGTGGAATTCTGATGCTCTGGGCAGGTGGCAGTAAAGACCCGAGCCAGGATAACGAGATTCTAGGCTCCACTCTGCCATTTACAGGTTGAGGGCAGAGCATCTCGCTGGCCTCCACAATGCCCTTTCAAGTGCCCAGGTTATTTATTCATCCCACCAATCACTAAACAAACATGTATGGAGCCTCTATTATGTGCTAAGATCTAGAGGCATAAAGACACAGCCCCCAGGACGCCCGGATGGCTCAGTCAGTTAAGCATCTGGCTCTTGACTTTGGCTCAGGTCATGATCTCACAGTTTGTGGGTTCGAGCTCCACGTCAGGCTCTGTGCTGGTGGTGCACAGCCTGCTTGGGTTCTCTTCCTCTCCGTCTCTCTCTGCCCCTCCCCTATTGGTGTGCGCTCTCTCTCTCTCTCTCTCTCTCTCTCTCTCTCAAAATAAATAAACTTAAAAAAAAAAAAAAGACACAGCCCCTACATTCAAGGGGATCTTGGATTGCTGGATCCCTATTTTTGCCTATGGAATAAATGATCAAATACTGGTCTTTGGGGACCATGCAATCCTTTATCCTTCCTGCGTCCTTTCTAATCGCTTTCCCTGAGCCCCTGCTCTGGGCAATTTTGGCCCTGAACTCCCCGTGAGGAGGTCGGTTTTTCTATACCTTGTGCTTGTTTCTCTCTGCACCCCACTTCTCTCCCACCCCAGCCCAGGAGCCATGAAGCACGATGAGGGGCTCTCACCACAGGCTTTCCCAGTGGAGTCCAGCAACACACTCTGCACAGTAGCACTGGTCAGGACAGCGCCCCCGGCCCGCTGAATCACAGGGATGGTGTGGAAAGCGATCTCACTGGTACCCCCTCGGGGATAAAAGGCCCCTTCCATGTAGTGGTTCACCACCAGAGCGTGCATGGAGAAGGCACTGTGCCTGGGGGTCACACCTACAGAAGGAAGGAAGGGGCGATGAGGCAAGAGCAGGCGGCAGCAGCATTTAAAGAGGAAGACAGATTCCTGTCAAAAAGCATGCAAACCTCGGTCTGCCCACCCCAGGATCCAAATGATCCCCAGGGCTAAGGGCAGCCAGAGGGCCTATCTATTGCCATCCAAACACAGGGTACCTTACAGATCCGGGGGCCAGTGGGAATGTCCTCCCTCAAAGTGACATGCTGCTGAGACGAGGGAGGACACGGTTGGCTGAAAAGGAAAAGCATCCAGGGCATGGCGCAGGGAATGTGTGCCAGGGAGTCCAGCAGGTAGGTGGACAGACTTCTCACCCAAGAGCTCCAGAGGGCCTTGGGTTTATCCTGCTCCACTTCAGTCAGTCAGGCAGGTTCAGGAAGAAAGATTGAGAGCCAAGAGGGCAACACCTCCTCCTCCAGGAGCCGCCCAGGACTCCAGGCCAGTACCCACCGTAAGTGGGGAAGATGTAGCTGAGCACCGCCCGGAGCTCCGGGGAGGCCGGCAGCTGCCGCAGGACCTCATCCAGGCTCTGGGTGGAAGCACGAAGAAAGGCAGAGAAATGGGTGAGCAGCCCCCACTTGCTGAGGAGCTGAGCTATGCGCAATGGGAGGGTCTTCAACAAGATGGCCAGGACGACTCCATGGGACACCGCCTGAGAAAAAAAATAAGCAGCGAGGAGCCACTGTAACGGAATCACCATTCCAATGGCCTGCGTACCAGCCCAGCACCGGGGCCCAGCAACATTTAGCCCTGGCCGAACTTGGATTTTTAAAAATCTGTACTCTGTGAATTTTTCCCATTCCACATTCAGATGAGTCCTTTTCTGAATATAAATATATTTTCTGAATATATTTGGGCAGAGGCCAACTAGGGTAGGGCTAAGTTCAGGGCAGACTTGACCGGTCCTCCCTTTCTGCCTCGCCCACCGGTCACTGCACTAATGAAGGTCAGCCTTGTCGGGAATAAACGGGGGGTGGGGGTGGGGGGGTCCTCAGCACATCCATGTTACCTTAACCAGCTTTATATATTTGTCAATGGCAGCTTCCTCCTGGGGAAACTTCTCCTTGAGGCCCTGAATGTAAGCTTTCTTCCCACTGTACATGGGGAACTCTTTTCGGCCGTTGGGTCCTTCTAGTACCATGATGTCAAACGGAGAAGACAAGGCGACCCATTCCAGCTGCCCCTCAGTGATCTGGTCCAGGATAAGACGGCTACTCTTGCCCTCTTGCATGTGCCCGACATAATGGATTCCTGTTGGGAGACAGAAGAACAAGGTGTCATAGGGATAAGGGAGCTGATCCCTGGAACGGTAGATAAAAGAAGCGAAATGAAAGAGGTAGTCCTGCATGGCTGAGTCCGTGCCCGGAGAGTGCTACCCACAACTTTCTGTGGGGAGGTGCTGCAGCAGAAACCACCAGATCTCTACCCAGTTCAGCTCCCCGCGGTGATGGCTGTCAGACAAAGAAAGTGGTGCCCAGAGAGAAGCTGGGGCCTCCAGAACAACAGAAACGTCCAGTGTCATCCCACAGTGGCTGCTCCAAGCCTCCTAAAGATACAGCCATGTTCCCAACCCCTTCCCACACAAGCCTTACCTGTGTCAAATTCCAGGCCATTCTTTCCAAAAGTATGACAACAGCCTCCTGCCTTGGTATGTTGTTCCAGTACCAGAACTCGCTTGCCGGCTTTGGCTAGAATCGCAGCTGCAGCCAGGCCCCCAAAGCCACTGCCGATCACCACTGCATCCAGCTTCTTTGGCACTCGGCTGACTGAGAAAGCTGCAGCAGAGGGAAGAGTTAGAGGGTGAGCTTCTCAGGCAGGGGCAGCAAAAGAGCAAAGACACGGAAACCAAGGAAGGCTCTGCTAGCTTATACAATGCAAGAAAACTCCAGTGCAGTTTGGCATGAAGCAACCGACTAAAATATCTCACACATTGCACCTGGGAAATACTCAGGACCAGCCAGGCAGATTAAAGACAGTGATTTGGTCTTACTGGAGCCGATTTAACTAAAACCAATATGTACCTGGGGATTTTACCTACTTTAAAGAAAACAAACACAAACAGAAACAGAAAGCTGACAATAATAATACAGGCTGAGAAACTTAAGTGCAGATAGAGAGCTAGGGAAGAAAGAAACAAGGAAACGGGGGACACAGGAGAGTGCTGTGGGCAGACTGTGGCTCTTGGAATTGTCCATTCATAAGTCGGTTATCTTTGAAAAATACAGGGTCTGTAGGCACCAGTGGAACAGCCTGGTCCTATGATGGTTCTTCAAGATCCTGAAGCAGAGGCTTGAGCAGGACAGAGCTGAGAAATCATTGCACCACCCTTTCATATCAGAGAAGTCTGGAGGCAGAACTAAGGGATCAGCACCTAAGCAAGATAAAAGGACAGCACATGGTGCCACGTGGGCACTTCAACACGTGATCTGTTCTTTAAAGATCATTCTTGAACTGAGATTTGGAATTTTTCCAAGCTGCAAGAGAACTTGGGAAACTTTTAACTTTTCCAACATTTTTAGAAAAACGTCTAGGGCGCCTGGGTAGCTCAGTCGGTTAAGTGTTCGACTTCAGCTCAGGTCATGATCTCGCAGTCCCTGAGTTCGAGCCCCGCGTCGGGCTCTGGGCTGACAGCTCAGAGCCTGGAGCCTGCTTCGGATTCTGTGTCTCCCTCTCTCTCTGCCCCTCCCCTGCTCACACTCTGTCTCTCTCTCTCTCTCAAAAATAAACATTAAAAAAAGAAAAAAAAAAGAAAAACGTCTAGTGAAAAACACATTTTATATCACAATTCAAAATAGAAATAAGTATATAATCTAAATAACGGGAGTTGAAGTTTCACAATAACTGAAATAGAAGTATTACAGAACTATGTATGATGACTCTGATATTTTCTGTTCTACTACATTTTGAAATACAACCTACTAAATCCAGTTCATGATCCACTAATAGATCACACAACCTGGCTGGAAAAAGTTACATCAGTCATCTCATTTTTATTTTTTTTTTTAATTTTTTTTTAATGTTTATTCATTTTTTGATAGAGAGAGTGTGGGTGAGAGAGGGGCAGAGAGAGAGGGAGACACAGAATCTGAAGCAGGCTCCAGGCTCTGAACTGACAGCACAGAGCCCGACGTGGGGCTTTAACTCACGGACTGTGAGATCATGACCTGAGCTGAAGTCAGATGCTCAACCAACTGAGCCATCCAGGTGCCCCAGTCATCTCACTTCTAGACCAACCCGAGAGAAGTGGAGTAATTTGCTAATAATGGCTATGCAGTAAATTAATGACAGAATCCAAGCTAAAACCCTCATCTCAGAAGTTCAGACTAACAGTCTTTCCACTTAAAACAGTATTGTCTCCGCCTGTGTCACAAGATGTATCACACAGAATCCTAAAATTTACAAGTGGGAGGGATCTTGGAGATCAAAGAGGAGATCTAACTTTTTTTTCTTAAAGCAGCACAACCCTTTCTTTAAACCTTATGAGGAACCCCAAAGTATGTTCTAAAGATGATAGTGGAGATACTCTGGTTGACCAAAGAGCAGCTCTCAGCCTGAGGCACCCTGTTGAGCCTCTCCCAAAGTTTTAGAACCAACCATAAGAGTTGGGACGAGGCATAGCCACTCAAATCACTTGATGGGCGAAATACAATTTCCCACACAGGTTGGAAGAGATGTGCAGCTCCTCCATGCCCTTGAACCATGGGGGAGAGTAAGGGGGAAAGTTAAGGTCTTATAACCAAGTGGGGGAAAGGTCTCTTCTTGTCTATCCTGCGGGTCGTGGACCTGTTCCTGGCTATGCCATTGGTGAGGGAGCATGAGGCAGGCTGAGGGGCAAAACACAATCTAGTACCCGCCCCCCCCCCCCCACACACACCCAACTCCAGGTGGGATCTGTGTGATAATCCTTGGACACTCCTGGCTACCCAAGAACAAAGGAAAAGGGTTTAAGTGCTTGCCATGGTGATGTGGGAAACTAAGGCAAATGAAAAATTAAATTCCCTTACTGCCTACAGCCCAATGACGAGTCCTTGAAATTGGTAGAGTGACCTCCCTGTCAGAGCTTAGCTGTTTCAATGATGGCACTTTGCTAGGGGCAAAAGAGAACCTGAGCTTAGCACTGTCACAACCTTGAGGACCCATCTTGTAAGTCTACTTCCTTTATCTCAATTACCCCAAAATATATGTTGGCAATCATACTCCAAGCGTATGGCCTCCCAATATACATCTATGTATAGATGTAACAGAACCTCTCATGACTGAGGTTCTGTTAAACGGTAATTGGTGTTTCCCTAGGAACAGCTCGCCCCTCAAGGTCCTAGAAATCTTGCTTCCAAAATACCTTAGCGACTTACTCTATCCCTGACCCCCTCCCAACCTGAGGGTATATAATGAGTTAACTGTCACAACCTCAGTGCAGCTCTTCCTGCCCATGGGTCCTGTCCCTGTGCTTTAATAAAATCACCTTTTTGCACCAAGAATTTTTTCTTGGCCCCAGGCTCAGGACCACCCCACCATCACCCCCAAAACTTCATCGCCATGACCTCAGAAAGCGGAGGACAGGACATAGTGGGGCCACTATGGCCTGGGGGCCTGCTTGGGCAAAGTCTGTCACCCGTAGGAGACACGAAAGCGGGGCGCCTCCACTTTCAAGGAAGCCCTCCCAGCACTTTACATATGGGGAAACTGAGGCCCAGGTGGGCAGCGGATCGCCGTGTTGGAATCGGAACGCAAACCTGAGAGGCCGCCCAAGTACAGCCTTGGAGCCCTTCTCGCTGACCTTGCTTGAGAACCTTTTTCCTGGCCTCTTTGTCGGTCACCAGCGGCGCGGAGGGCCGCCTGACGTCCTCGGAGAAGGGGTTCGGGGAGCCGCCTGCGAACGGCCGCAGGTGCCCTTTGCAGAGGACCGCCAACAGCGGCACAACCAGCAGCAGCAGCAGCAGCAGCGAAAGCCACATAGCGCCGGCGGGGCCCAAGGACGGGGTCCGCAGATACGACCCCCAGCCTGTACTGCAGTGCCCCCGCCGCGCGTATTTATCCTTCCCGGCCAGGAGGCGGGGGCAACATCGACCTTTGATCAGCCAGAACCTTTCCGGCCTGGAGCCAGGAGTCCGGCGCGGACTGGCCCTCCGGGCGGCTCGTACTCCTGCAGCGCCAAGTTTCCCAGGCTGCCGGGAGGCGGGGCGCTCCGGGCCCGGAGGCTGAGCCGGGACGCCGTGCGCACGCGCGGGGAGGGGCGGCCGGGGGCTGACGGAGACTGGGAAGGCCCGGGAGCCTTGGCCGCGGCCCGCGAGCCCCCAACTCTGCGGAGGACGCGTGGAGTGGAGATGGTCGTCCCGGACCTAGACCAGCCTGGGAGCTGCAGGCCCGAGAGAGAATCCCGCCCGGGGCCCAGGATGCCTGGGTTCTGGTCCGCGCTCTGCCGAGGGCTCGCCGAATGACCCGAGGCAAGTTGCTTACCTGTTTTCAGTACCTAGTGGCGAGGAGGTTTCCGTCCGGAATCCACACAGCCCCAGTCTGGCGGGGTTTCTTGATGGAGTGAGATTCCTGTTGAGATCGCGAGTCACAGCCGGCGAGCACCCAACCCTGTGCCCCCACCCCATCCCCATCCCGCGATGGCCAATCGTTCAGCCCTCGACCGCGGCGGCCCCGTGGATGGCGTTGCCTGCGGCGGGGGCCTGGAGGCGCCCCCAAGCCGCAGGTTGGGGCCCCACAGCACCTACCCTCCTTCCGTGGGGTAGTGAGGGTCGGGGAGCTGCCAGCGACAAGCCTGATGAAAGGATTAAAGAAGGACTGTCAGACCTACGTGGTCATTTGTATTTAACGTATGGACCCAGTTACTGTATTAAATACCTATTCAGAGAGTGAAAGCTCCAGCAGGAAGTTTGAAAATCATATCCCTTAATGTAGCTCCTTGCCTAAAGTGGGTGCACCATAAATCCTTAATTTGGTAAAGGATCCGTCCTTAGAGCAAGGCCATTTCCTTGGGCCCAACTATAAGGAACTAGCCTAATGTTGCTGGGAGTGACTTCTTAACTTCCATTACTTGCTTATTTGACAGAATTTTTGCTCTTTTCTGTCTCTGATACAGATACTAACTGTACCTGTTGAAGCCCCCAGAGTTCCAGCCAGACCTGAGGCACTAGCAGGTGTGTGAAGCCGGTCATACTTCTAGCTGCTTGATTCATTTCATACACAGAAACAGAAGAGGCTGCTTGATGTCGCTCTTACCATACCTGCCTGTCACCTTCCCAGCGTTGGCTGATGTGTGAGTGTTTTGTTATATGGTGTCATGGAGGTCAAGGAGAAGGGAAAGGAAAGGGAACCAGATGCTGAGACCTCAGAGGATACAGTGAGAGAGAGCTAATTCCTGAGGTACCATGACCACCGAACACTGTCCTCCCCCCTTAATTAGAGTTACCCAAACGTCCAGCCTAATAGCCAGGAAATATTCCCATTCTTGGTGCTGGGAATCAGTGCATCTTGGCAGAGATTCTAGTTTGTTATTGGCAGCCAGTTCTTAGGGAATCCGGATCATGTTCCCACAGTGGGGAGCTGACTTCAAAGAGAGGCCACCCTCCTTCCTAAGTTACCCACATCTGTGAAGCGTGATTGTCAGTCAGTGGTGGACTGTCTGCCCACCTACGATCCAGATTGTTATAACAGGCATCCATGATGTCTAGCTCCTCCATGGTAGGTTATGGGCCTGTCCAGCCCCCTTCCCAAGGCGGGCTTGTAGGATGACCGCCTTAGAGTTAGCCACACTGGCTAACATGTACCATATTGGCGTTCACTGGCAAGGCAACGTGTTGGATTTTGATTTTCTATCATCATAGGAACCAGGCCTAGTATTCTAAGCCCCCAGACCCAACCCGTGTCTGAGACTTAAGCAAAGCCTAAGCATTTCAGCTAAGACCACCCACCAGGATGCCACCATTTGATAAGTTGCCCCCAAATCCCAGTGACTTCATGGTTAGAACTGACCCTACCACTTAACAGCGGTGCTTCTGCCTTCTGGACACTTGAGAATCCAACCCTCAGACTCCTACACCATCCCCTTCTTGTCATCGGGTGGCACGGATAGTAAGAGTTAGGATTTGGCTAAAGCAGCTGATTTATTCAGAGTAAGTTTCTTGCTTAAAAATTTTTAAAGTCAGTTTTTCTTAACAGAGGCTTTACCGAATGATGAAACTAGCTTTCTTTTTTTTCTTTTTTTTTTTTTAACAGTGCTGAGACTTCAGAGACTTCAGGGACTTCTTTCAGTACTCGCGGAAACCTCCCACACCCTGGTGATGGCACACAGGGACTGTTTTCCTACTCTTAGCCTGAATGACTGCCAAGAAGGAAGGCAAAGGCGGAACAGTTGGGTGTCAGGCTTTCTCCATATTTCTAATCCTTATTAAACTCCTTTCTGAGCCCAAGGACAAAGCTCACTTAACAAATGACTTTGAATCATGAATGAAAACTCTTGCTCTTTCCATGAGAAAGAATTAAGAGATGGACAGGTAAGCAAGTACTTCGATTTAGGGAAGAAGGTGTTGGTTGGGGATATATTGTTAATAGTGGTAACACAGAGGATGTATCACTAGAATGTAGAACTTTCGAAATGTTACAGGAAAACTTTCATTATAATGTTCTTTGTTCTATTAGGAGAAGCTTCTATTCATTCACCTCTGGGTCAGTTGCCTTTGCTGGTAGCTTGTGTTCTAAGTGGGTCATGGGATTTTGTTTTGGATTTGCTTGGGTGAGAGAAGAAGTTCAATGAGGAATCCCCCAAGGTATTTGTGACTCATCAGTTTGTTACTGTATTGACCCTTTGCCACACATATGCTTTGGCTTGATTATCCTCAGGACTCGGAGTCCAGGGTGATGACTTGTGAGTCTGGAAGCTGACTCTACCTCCCTTTCTCCCTCCCTTGTCCAGAAATGGTCTTACAGGGACCCTGTGGGATTTATTAGCCTCTGGGATAAAGCCTTTGCTTTGGGAGTCCAGGAAGGTTTTCTCTACTCTACTACAGAGAGAAGCCTTTGGCCACTGGAAGGGACTGAATTGGAGAGGGAAAGGAAGGATGAAATGAATCCTGAGTACACAGACCCCTACAGGGAGTTGTTCAGCATAATGAATCATCACATATTTTTGAGAACGCATTTTGTGCCAAATACTCTGCTAATGGGTGTCAGAAACAGGAAAGAAGTATAAGAGAAGATTCCTCCACTCAAAGCAGCAGAGTGTGATTTAAAGATAGACTGTGTTGGGGGGAAGTAAAAATTCTAGGTACCGGCCACCTGGGTGGCTCATTCGGTTGAATGTCTGACTTCAGATCAGGTCATGATCTCACGGTTTGTGAGTTGGAGCCCTGCATTGGACTCGCTGCTGTCAGCACGGAGCCTGCTTCAGATCCTCTGTCCCCCCCTCTCTCTGCCCTTGCCCCACTTGTACTCTTTCAAAAATAAATAAACATTAAAACAAGAAAAAAACTCTAGGTACAATTTCAGCATACTCACAAAGAAGGAGTCACAAGACTTACTACTTACAGACCCCAGAAACGCGGCAGGGGTGAATGTGCAGAGGGGGCAGGGAGCCTAGGTAAGGGTGGTCCTCAGTACCAGATCATGAGCAAGTACCCCTATTGCTCATAAGGTGGAGGTCACTGACTTCTCTTGGGCTCAACTCTAAGTGATTATTTTCAAAGATGCCCCAGAAAAAGCAAAGCAGGCACTCGTAGCAGGAATCCTAAGCCCGGGTCCCTGTCTAAATGTCCAGACTCTGGCTGTAAGCAGGTTTGTCGTACTGTCAGCCCTGAGGAAGCAACTCAGAAGAGCTGTTTCCTCATCATGCGGGCCTTTGGCAGGGAGCTTGTGCCGCCCACAGGACTGGCTGCAGGGCTGAGAGAAGGGGAGAGACCCTTGTAGTGTGGCCCCAGTGGGTAAGGTGGGCCACCTTGAGGAGATGCAGCTGATCTTAAAGGGGCCGGAGGACGCAAGAGGTGGCGGTAGGGGCGTATTCTGGAGGAAAACCACACAACCAGAGGGATGGAGGCGAGAGGAACTACAGCAAGGGTGTTCACGGGGGCGAAGTGGGCAATAACGGTGAGAAGGCATCGGAGTACCTGTGTGGCTCAGTTGGTTGAGGAGCTGACTCTTGATTTCGGCCCAGGTAATGATCTCACAGTTCATGGGGTGGAGTCCTATGTCGGGGCTGGGCTGACCTGCTTGAGATTCTCTCCCTCTTTCTCTGCCCCTCTCCCATCTTTAAAAATAAATAAGTAAACACTGTCAAAAAAAAATTCATGAGGGGGCATCATGAGGCCAGCGACAGAGGAGTTTTTTCAGCCATGGTGTGTTTCGGCAGCCATTCCTGTGTCCTCGTCATAAAAGAATCAAAGCTCTGTTTAAGGAGTAGTAGTTGGCAAACGTATGTGAGAAGGATTAGAGTAACAGAATAAGCTGGAATTCTACAGCTTTGACAAAAGCACTGATTTTTTTTTTTTTACTAGTTTTAATTAGTTTCTTGTGTTTATTTAAAAAAAATTTTTAGGGGCGCCTGGGTGGCGCAGTTGGTTAAGCGTCCAACTTCAGCCAGGTCACGATCTCGCAGTCCATGAGTTCGAGCCCCACGTCAGGCTCTGGGCTGATGGCTCAGAGCCTGGAGCCTGTTTCCGATTCTGTGTCTCCCTCTCTCTCTGCCCCTCCCCCATTCATGCTCTGTCTCTCTCTGTCCCAAAAATAAATAAATGTTGAAAAAAAATTAAAAAAAAAAAATTTTTAATGTCTATTTATTTTTGAGAGAGAGAGAGAGACAACGCTAGTGGGGGAGGGCAGAGAATGAGGGAAACACAGAATCCGAAGCAGGCTCCAGGCTCCAAGCTGTCAGCACAGAGCCCGACGCGGGGCTCGAACTCACAAACCGTGAGATCATGACCTGAGCCAAAGTCAGACACTTAACCAACTGAGCCAC